TAACCTAAATTTTGATATAATATATAAACAAATAATTCAAATAATGAATGATTACACTCCAAAAATGTCAACGTCTTTCAGGGATACGTGAATCTTTTAACATCTCCCGAATACTCCAAAACGACTCATCTCAAGATTATAGAAATATTTTAAACAGTCTGAACTGAATAAAAAAGATCTCTACAGTCTGTATAACTTTTTCATTGAAATCACAAAAATGTTGTAAATCTGAGCCAGTATATTAAATATTACCAACATTGTACATCTGACTGTTAATGTAAATAATATTATTATAACTATCAAATTGTTTGATACTGATATCCTGTATATTATGTAAATATTACTAAAAATTTATAATATCCCATTGTATGGCCCCCTGCAACAGGGACACGTCCCTTTATGCTAATAAAGATTATTATTATTATTATTATAATAATATAAGTTAATTCATTATTTATTCATCTAATCTTAAAAATTAAAGTAATGAAATTATAAAAATCAGATAAATATTATTAATAGATTAATAATTCAAATTTATTCCTTAAAACTTACCATAGGAACTTTTTCTATTTGAGGTTGATTTAACTGACTATTGCATTGATATAAAAATGGTTTGTTTTGAGAGAAGTTGGCTCCACCATCCGATGCTCTTCTTCCAAAATTACTTGCTAGAAATATTTATTTAATATTTAATAGAAAAATTACTTAAAAGTAATATTATAATTATAAATTAAAAACTAACTTGTTCCCATCACATGAGGTGGTTTCAAATAATGATTTCTAACAGAAAATTCCTGAGGTGAATGATGCTGAACAAGTGGGAGATTTTGTGGTATATTAGTATTTAAAAGCGTATTAAGGTAAACTGTTGGATTTATAAGTGGTATAGCATTATAAAGTAATGGAGGTGAATCAGTTTGAGTTTCTTCAGTAGAATCACTATATCCTGTACCAACTGTATGTCTTCTCGTTGCATTCTGATCTCCAGAATTAGGATTACTTTTATCAAGTATATTTTCTGTAAACTATACATTGAAATTTTATTGTAATCATAAATCATTATAACAAAGTTAAGAAATTAATATATCAAAGTTATAACAACATACTCTATTTAGCCCAGCTCTTTCAGCAACAATTTGATGAATTGGAATTGTGTTGAGATTTGAGGAATTATTGCCATCATTTGTAACATTTTTCTCAACTATAAACAAAAAGTTTTATTTTAAACTTAAATAAAATTATTTAAATAATTTAATTAATTATTATTAATTTCTTCTTGAATACTTAAGTCATAATTGAAAGAAGTATTTTAAAAAATCACAAAAATCTAAAATTACACAAAATTTAATTGGTATTTACCAATTAAAATTTAATACTTTTACATAAAATATTAAATTACTTGTTTATTTTTAAAACCATATTATTAAACGATTAAATAATACAGTAGAACCCTGATTATCTGAGATAATGTGGACTGAAGACAGCCAGGGCCATTTCAGATTAAAAATTACAAATATAAAAGATTTATATGGTAAATCAGTTTTTATACCATACTAAATATAATCATGCATATGAATATCAATTTTATGCCATTTATTACACATACAATGCTTACAATAGTTTCAAGAATAAAAATATGTATTATTGTAGTTACATTTTAATATGAATGGTTTGTCTAATTTAACATTAAAGTTAAATGATACAAGGTAACAGAAGCAAACTAATTTGTAATATGTGCTGTCATTTTAAACATTTTTTTATGAATTAGAGTGTAAGAAAAGTAGTGTATTCACTTGTAGATTTGCCTCAAATAATGCGGAACCTCAGATAATCAAATTTATACTCTACTTGAATAAACGATATTTAAAAAAAAAAAACTATATAATCTTTAGTGTATATATAACACACAAAAATGTTTACTTTACAAGAAACAGTCAATGTTTAAAATCTTACAGATAATTTCTCATTATTCAAAATTTTTTGCGTTTTCTTCTCTTTAATGTAAAAATTTCAGGAAAAATACATTAATTATAATTTAATTACAAACTTAAAATACATTTTTAAAAAATTATGTTTAGGCATTCCTTGATTCTAAGATACAAATAAGTTTGAAATTAAATTTTAAATTATTTTAATGAAATAATAAAATTATTTTAAAATTTTATCAAGTTTTTTTTTTTAACTTGTTACTTAGTAAATGTCATACATTTTAAATATGTATTAACTTTTTAAAACTATTTAAAAATAAATAAATAATTATTACCTATCCCTGTTGTTATANTTAACATTAATATGTGTTATTCCTTGTATACTCTTATTGTTATCTTATTTTTATTTTATATTGTGTTATTTTAGGATAATGGTGCATTTTAGCTCTTTGATCCCACCATTGTATCTATTATGAGAAATAAATAAATAAGATATACGAGTTATATGAATAGTAACTAACAGTTGGAGTAATATCTTCATTTGAAAGGCAGACAGAAAATTTTAAAAACAATGTTTCTATTTTTTATATTTTCAATAATTACATCAAAAATATTAATGTTAAAAAATACAATTATATTAAATTTAATACTGATTACACCCACCCACAAACCCACAGACACAAACACACATTAATATACCTGTATTATTTCTTGTTGAGTAAATCCACACATCTGCTCCATGTATTCAACAAGTACATTATTTATTGTATCGGGTTCATTTATTGCATTATTACATTTTTCAGTTATTATTTCTGAATTATTGCTTTCTTCTCTCATCCATTTATGCTTTTTAATCTGTTCTAAGCTATACCTTTTTTCTGGATCAACAACAAGCATGTTACGAATTAAATTTTCACAATCTATAAAAACAATTTCAAAAATATTTTTAATGTATTTAAACTAATTTAAATTTGCAATGTCATAGCTGAACATAAATTTTATTACCTGAACTCATAAAAAATGGAACACGAAATTTTCCCGATAATACGCAATGTCGAAGACTCTGCAATGTTTTACCATCAAATGGTAATGCTCCACATACCATAACATACAATACGACTCCTAAACTCTGTATAGATTTAAAAATAAATGTTTAAATAATTAAAATATATATTAATTAATCTTATGTAATTCTAATAAATCTTAAATAATTAAATAAAATATATATTTTTGTTAATTATTTAAGATTCATTTAATTATTAAAGAAAAAATCTTGTATTAGTTATTTTAACTTTGTTTTTTTCCAGTACTATTACATAAATATTTTTTTATTTCATTAAGTAACTACAAAATTTGATATTAAAATAATAAAGCAATATTAAAATTCAATTTGCAAATTAAAAGATTAAAAATTATTTTCATTTAAATATTCAAAAAATATAAAAAAATTTATTTTCCTTTTTTTTTTAATAAATATTACTTTATTATAAATT